ACCAACCACTCCTTTTGTTGCCCATCGTTGGACTCTTTCCAAGAGGTTGGCGTCTCTTCTAAGCGGTGAGGGTGGAATGATATTATGCACTTCAAGGTGCGGTCTGACGTATGCTTTGTACAACCTTAGAAAGAGTTCAGGAGTGAGTACAACTAACTGTCCATGTGTATAGTGTATGACCGCATATGCTCTCGCTACATCCTTCGTGTAATTTACGCTTGTGTTCATTTTTTCCTTTAGAACTAGATCTTTGACGTTGTACAGGACAAGCTTTCATTGCACACGGTGTAACTTGCATTCTGCAGTCTATAGGTGCGTAACTTCACTACTTTGCACTTTTTGAGGTTGAACGTCATGCCACTGGCCACCTCCCAGTCTTCCAGAAGCTTTAGATTTGCCTGCAGCCTATCTGAGTCTTCCGAACACTTTATTGCCTTCCATATCTTTACTTCGTCAGCGTATAGAAGAGTCGGGCAGCTTAGACGGCATGGTGGGTCACTGGCGAAAATCAAGAACATCAGTGGTCCCAGGATAGAACCCTGCGACACTCCTGATGACGAGCTGTGCCAAGATGATCGGACTCGATTGACCTTAGTGCGAAATTGCCTTTCAGTTAGGTAGTCCTTCAACTATGACAGAAGCGGCCCACCTATACCTACCTGACTTATTTTGTGTAGGAGAAGATCATGGTGAATGGTGTCAAATGCCTTCTTAAAGTCTAGGAATACCATATGGACCGGAACATTCATATCCCAGCATGATGTCCAATCGTCCCATGCTGATAGTAGGTTTGTTGCAATCTGCCTTTCCTGAAACCTTGTTAGGCTTCATGGAGTCTATTAGTCCTATCGATGTGTTCCCTGATGTGATCATCAATAATACTTTCCAGTACTTTTGATACCACTGGGATTAGAGCTACTGGTCTATAACTAGTGGGATTTTGCCTATCCCCACCCTTGAAGTTCGGAGAAGGGATGGCTATTTTCCACTCCCTTGGCAGTTTTCCCGAATCGATTGTGTGTTGGAACAAGTCGCACAAGGGCCTACAGAGAGCTCCAACGCACTGTTTGAGAAAAGATTGCCTGATTTCCTCACAACCTGGGGACTTTCCAGATGTGAGTCGCCGCAGCTTCCCTAGTACTATTTTAAAACAAGCAATGATGGTTAATAAAGCAGGATTTAATGAATTTATCAAATTTCGGTAGAATTCGTCAGCTGAATACTCTACATTCACGGATATATATACTTTTGAAATTACATTGGGAGATATAGGACTGATAAGTAAACAGACCACATTGAATTAGTCCTGCAGAAAGATGATGCGAATGTTTTTCCAGTTCATGTTCAAATAGATAAGGGGAGAGAGTATGAGAGATCAAAATTAAGATAGATTGCATTACGCTTCAATTACATCACTCAGATAAACAATTACACATTAGAGAATAGAACAAGAATTGCAAACAGAGTGATGTCAATAGTAGTAGTTATAATAACAATAATAATAGTGTTGAAGTGAGTTAAGACAGTCCTACTGATAAAGGATAGTTTTAAATGAGTCAAGAATAATAATAATAAGAGGTAGAATTGTAAGTAAAACGTATTACCATGGTAGATTCAGAGTCACGAACATCTCCTTTTGTGCACAGAGACCTGGTTTGTAAACTCGAATTGCACAAGCCTCTGCAATTGCAAGCATCTTCTTGTTTCTTTGTCTGCTGACAATGGTGAATGACTTTACCTCGTCGATATCATGTCCGTAATCCACAAGATGCTTTGTTATTGAGGATTTTGACACTTTGCACTCAGCTGTTTTGGCAAATGCTACATCATGCCAAAATGTTTGAAAACAGCTGAGTGCGAAGTGTCAAAACCCTCAATAACAAAGCATCTTTTGGATTACGGACATGATATCGACGTGGTCAAGTCCGCCTACTTTTCCTCTCAGCCCCTTCACATTGCTATATAGGCATCTGGCACTGAGTCTCACAACCTCAGCCTTTTGTGGGGTAGTTGACTTTACGTTGTCCTCTGGTAGGGGACTTGATATTGGGACTAGTTGGCCGTTTCCGATGGAACCGGCCCGTTGTAGTTTTTTCCTTGGATTCATTTAGGACACTTGGGTGACACTGACTGTTATTCTCAGTACCGCATCGCTCTAGTATCACTGACCTTTGGGGACGCATTAAGGCCTCAGTTTGCTGCCTCTTTATGGTTTGAGGTCTGCTTTCACAGCATCGGATGTGTCCCCCCATTTTCCCCTTGGTGTCATATCCCCGTTGAAGTACTAGGGCCAACTGTTCCTGGGAGTTGAATTTGACACTTAGCAGCCTTGGGGAACTAATCAGCGTGAGATGAGGTAGTCGGCGCGAGGCAGTCGGAAAATCGAGACTGCTCCAGAAGCACCAAGGGCCATCTGAGATGACAGGCATCTCCATTGCTGTACATCATGCATGTGTTTTTCACAAGCAGCGCCAGCTTCCAGCTCCGGAACACTGTGTACCGCCATAGAGGTAGAAGGCATCAGTTCCGATAACTCCTTCACCATTTGCCTGTTAGCCCATGGCCTATCATGTCTCACTCTTGTGCTAGAACTCCTGTTGCTAGCTAGTACCTCAGCCAGTAATAGTATCCTTTCAGCCTCTTCGGCAGAGCCTAGTGTAACCTTAATGGGAGTAGCTGACCCTGAGGCGTGTGGACACCTCTGTACAGCCTGTACGATTTCTCTGAACTGATGTTCAGACCTAATTTATTGCACAAGTTGGACCACTGTTCCTGATCAAACAGGGCCCGTTGTTCAAGCAAGCTATCATTGCTCACGGGTACATTAAACAGAGAAGGCAGTTAGACCAACTGACCTCAGACTTAGATTTGGCTCTTGGCTGCTTGTCCTCCTTTGCAGGGTCAGTCACTGTGGACGTCATCATCATCTGATTAGCCTCCGCTATGTTGCCAAGCTTGCTAGTGGATTTTAGTGGTGCTTTGGAAAATTCATCTTCCCCTGATGTTGTAGGTGTAACCTTTGGAGTCTTCACCTTATGAAGATTGGTATTTCCAGTCGGTTTGGCTGGAGTATCCTTCTTCCTGTCTGTACCAAGTTTTGGTAGTGTGGTGTTATCAGGTGGAGAGCTGCAGGAGACTATGTTAAGGCACAAGAGTGACGTGCTGTTTCCGCTATCCGCAAACACGTTGTGTAGGACTTTGCCAGGGCGACAAAGTGGGCAGATGTACCCGAACCATGGGCACGGGTTATTTCGCATAAATTCATAATATGGTTTTGGCACCCCTTTGTCACAACGGCAGTGTACCCATCGTTTGCAAAAATTGCATTCAAATGCTGAGTCAGTTTTAGAAACGATAACACTACAGGCCTTACATTTGTCTCCTTTTGTAGATAACGCTTTCGACGTTTCATGAAGTCTTGAGAGTTTCTTTTTTGTTTTGCCGTGTGTCACGCACTGGCTTCCAATGGACACAGGTGTAGTATCATGTTCACCTAGTATTGCTTGTGTTGTGTCATTGCTAGACTGTGGCAATGTAGGCGTTGTATCAGAACAGGCGAGATGTACACGGGTCTTTAGAATCGGTATGCGAGATGGGGTTGATGTCCCTGGGTTATTGTCTCCTCTGCCTCCCTCTAAACACAACACTTATGACAGAATCTCCCTGATTGTAGTGGAATAAGTCATGTAACAGATAGTGAGCAGGCGCGTTCACGATTGGCCAGCAGAGTAAGCTGCAAAATGTGTATTTCATAGACGATTTATGCCTTGCATCGGGCGAACCCTTAGTCTCGTCGTGGTGGGACAAAAAATCAACAACAATGAGCATCAGCCAACACAAATGGGAGAATTCTAAAGAAAGTTGCTTCTTTCACACATCTGCCACAGGCCTCATCGTTTTAACTACAGGTGCCACGGGTTAGGATGTCAAAGCCAGTCAGGATCAGCGAAGGGTGCGGGGGGCGGCCACTACAATGAACTCGGTATAGAGGTTTAGAACAATTGGCACGATAAACCAGATTCGAATTTTCAGTGCCTGTGATAAATCAGTGCTTTCAAATTGTTCAGAAACTTAGAGCGTCAACTTAAGCAATAATTACAGGAGGGGATCTTCATAACCAGATGTTTTCGCCATATACTGAGGATCATATGACCAGCTAGAAGGGGTAAGCAAGAGGGGAAGGCTGTGACAAGGTACTGGCGGATAGGCTACTAAGTAAAAAATACACGGAAGGAAATAAATTGGGCATGCAATAAGGAAACATTTGCGTGACATAACGCACTAGAGTCTCTAGTGAGACCTGAATAAGAAGCGGTGGGTTTAGCATTAGGGGCTGAGATGGATGGGATTGTATGAGGAGGAAATTAAAGCTTGTAGGTGTTTTGGGGAACACTGATGGGAGAGAAAGTGTGAGAGGGAGATATTTCGTCATTGCTTAGCATTACACTTAGAACTTAATTAATGAACAATATTACTGATAATGCTAATGGTGGTAGTAGTCTAGTTCAGTGAGGCTATATAAGCAGTGCGGAAGAATGTCTTATTAATTTTTTGGTTCACCATTTGTCCTGTCCTTCTTTCCCCCCTCCTTCATTTTTTTCCCTGTTCCCAGTCTAATTGCAGTCTTCCATATTTTGTCTGTAAAGTCTTGTCAACTTCCTCTTCTGATAATGCCTCGTTTTCTGGTGTGTTTTCGAGGATTTTCTTGGTAAACTGTATTCCTTAGTTCCAGCGATGACAATGAACTTGTGTTAACCATCTCTTCAAAAAAGTAACTTAATAATTATAGCTCTGTTTATAAAATTGCGTTCAAAATTGATTCTTGATTCTCAGCAAATGCTAGAGGGCCAAAAGGGAAGCCACAGGGAATAATACGACGTGTGAACAAAGACTCATACTTTTACCCTCACTCGCGTGATCAAGAGTGTGCAAAGAGGAGAGATACGTAGATAAACAATGGGTTTTAGCAAGGCAGACACAAAAGGTTCCAAATGGGCTGAATGTTATTTCCAACTTCATCAAAAAACTACAGAGAACATTTTCACTTGCTCCAAACATTTCTTCGGCGCGCAGAAACTGATTCATACGCTACTGTCGGGTTTTTATTGATTGTCTTCAGTACTACGTTTCAAATACAAGTCGATTTCAGAAAACCTGTATTGTAAGTGTAATTTTAAAAATAAAATTTAAAGTTGAGCTCTGTCTTTCAGTATATCTATATCCAATATTGATAGTATCCATTATTACCATGAACTTTAGTAATCGCATGTGATTGCAACAAATATCTTCAGGGATATATGTCGTATGTAGCTCTATACATAAGAAAACGCGGTTCTACAGGCTTTCTCAAACGCTGCGTCCCATAATGGAACCCAAGCTTACATTATTTTTAATTAATTCTAACCTACCCAAGCCAAAAATAATGTCGAAGTAAATCAGGCAAATTCTGAACTTACTCAAGTTAGTTCTGCACAAATTAAAACTTAGTTCTGGTTTCCATGTTGACTGATACTAATTCAGCGCCCTGTGCTTTTTCTCGGCATTTTTAGAGGTGACGGCCTTATTTCAGCCCTGTCAGCCCGAATTTAACCCTGGCTGGCATTACTTTAGAACAACCAGACAGTTCGGCGCATACTGAAAAATTTACGAATCAAAAGTTCAAAAAACAAAATTTGCAATCCAATAACCTACTCATCAGTAACTTTGTTTAAGAGTACGAAACAAGGGGGTGACTACTTTGTCACTATGCGTTGGGATAGTAATGTACTTACAAACAATATTCAGATGAGATATTCGCAAGATTTCTTGACTGAATGTCGAGTGAGCACTAACAGTTACACTGCCTCCCAAATTGTCAACATTTAGTCGTTATCGTAAAGACCTTCAATTCAGCTAATAGGACCCTAGAAACCTCGTTGAAGTTATCAAGTTTTCTCAGTCCACCATGTATGCCAATTAAGAAAACATGGTGTCGTGATACGACCTAGTAATGGCCACAATTGTTGCGAAGAACTGTTCGATATCGATGAACTGTCATAGTTAAGCTGCACGTCAGAATGTTGAAAAGTGTCATAGTCAACCCAACTACCTAGATAACGTTTCAGATTTTCCTTCAGTTCAACGTGATAGTAGACACCTTGTCCAAGAAATCTAGATACACACATACCACTATCTTTTAGCAAACTCCTGATGGTTGTTAGCGCATGTGGATTGAATTTACGGATACAGTCCAACATTTCCTGCACACCAACTACTGTAACATTCAATGATAGTAACAGTTCCATAATCGACCTTCTGACCAGCTTTTTGTACGTCATCTTTTCAGGAACAACCTCAAGTTCTATTAAAAATATCTGTTACACAGTAATGCATATTACGGTTCCTCTGAGTTGGTGAAACAACAGTGATGGCCTCACTGCGGACGATATAGTCCTTCTAGGCGAGGACGCTGACGAAATGCAGAGTCTACTGAACACCTTGAGCAACAATCTTCGTATGTTTGGCATGCGATTCGCCTGTGTAAAATGTAAGATAATGCTGCAGGATTGGACTTCACCGACCCCTAGATTAGAAATAGGAAGTGAAGTGGTAGAACACGTTGACCGCTTCACTTACTTGGGAAGTACCATCAGCCCCAACGGGTTGATCTCCGACGAAATCTCAGCACGAATACAGAGGGCTAGTTTCGCATATGCCAGTTTACGCCGTCTCTGGCGTAGACGTGATATCCGACTGTCGACCAAAAAGCGTGTGTACTGCTCAACAGTCCGCTCCGTCCTCCTTTATGGCTGTGAGACCTGGCCATTGAGAGCAGAAGACATGAAAAGATTAGCTGTGTTCGATTATAGGTGTCTGCGTTCTATCTCCCGCGTGAAGTGGTATGATAAGGTGAGTGATATTGAGGTTAGGCGTCGAGTGCTAGGTAAGGCGGGAAAATCAATAGACGAGACTGTGAAATTACACCGACTGAGATGGTTAGGACATGTGCTACGTATGCCTAGTCATCGCCTTCCTCGACCGGCACTGTTAGCTGATATAGGGCCAGGCTGGAAAAGAGCTAGCGGCGGTCAAACGAAAACATAGCACCAGTCAATGAAATCCACAACAGTTAGTCTAAGCCACGTAGGAAGGTGTAAACTTCCTAGTTGGGGTCCTCGGGACGGTAAAAACCAATGGTTGGAAACAATTGGTGACATGGCTCAAAATCGTTCTCAATGGCGCAGATGCATCGACTCCTTGTGACTCATGATTTCCAATCAAACTGTTCTTCATTATTACTATTCCTTTGTCTCACACCTCTGTTTACTGTCTGTATTATGCATTTCTCCTACTTTCTTCTCTTGCTTTGTGTGCTACATGGCGACTTGAACTGCCGCACATATGTGCAAAGTTCTATGTTGAAAACCGACCGACCGACCGACCGATGGCCTCACTAGTACTAGTTATACTCACTGTTCCCTGTATAGTTGAACTTGAAGACAGAGGTGCTGTGTTGTCCCTTGACACCTCTTCACTAGATGCGCATTGACGTTTCCAGAAATCCCATTCACTAAAACTTGCGTCACATAACCATTTATGACGTTGGTAAAACGTGGAGTAGCTGTATCCAAGGCATTCATTTAGCCTGCTAGAAGATCGGCTTCTTTTACAATTTGTGGTATAATGTTGAGTACCCGTATCTAACACATTATCAGAGTTGTTCTTCTGATAATAAAAATGGACAAACAGTTTACAGCGAAAATCTCACTCATCTGCATACCTATTGAATCCTCTAATAATGATCTTTAAACAAGGACCATCGCTTATACACCTCTAGCCAAACATCCGTTTTTTATATTAAAAGGGATGACAATAAGCAGTGACCATATGGTGAAGTGTAATCACAACTGTAAACATGTAAATTCCTTCTCTCTGTTTTCGTGGGTTAGAATTAAATATTGATACAGCAACTCTACTCTGATTAACCCCACTGTACAATGATTAGTACTGAAGTGGCTTTGAAAATTTAGTGGTTGGTGTAAATTCTGGATTTAAAGGGCGTTATTAGTTTCCACTAATTCACGCCACTAATAATAGACACAATCACCCGTTAAACATAGCCACTAAGTTGCAGAGTTTTCGGAAACTCGAAGCAAATTTTATTACTTTAGCATAACGTCGTGAAGTTAGTTTATCGGTTGTTGGGTAAGGGAGCCTGGTCGACTGGTTACGTTGAAAACTTCCACCTTTGAAACTGCTAAGAAAATGTACTATGCAAGCTAAGTTATCGTCTACTTTTTCACCGAGAAAAGTCAAGATGTGTCACACTGGAATTAGTAGCATTTCCCAGAGTCTCATACTGCTTTCACCATTTTCAGGAAGTGTGAGCTTGTTGGTTTAGGTCAACGTAACGACTGGACTTGATGGTTAAAAGTTATTAGACAGATCAACTTCAGTGATATCCGTGACTTTATACTGCTTTTTCACATAAAGCGTGATATCTTTTGCTGTTTTGTCTGACACTAAGGTTTCTGCTACTAGTTATAATATTGTTTCCATTACTTTTTCCACCATTTTATCATATTTTACCTTGGTTTGAGAAGTGACACCATATCACGTACTCATGTCTTTTAACGTGGGTAGGAGTGAAACGTACAGAGAGTGTGCAGAGTTTTTCTTTTTAATGGTAGTCTGAGTGTTTAATACGCACTTATATTTGAAGTATGAAACATTCTCCTAGCATCAATGTGCATGGAAACGCAATATTTTTGAAGTGGGTAGGCGCGTTGTCTATCTTATTTATTTTGTGAATTATATCAACCCCAATGAAACTTTTAGGGTTGACTGGAAGAAGTAATGGGATTATTTTGTATTGTTGAACACCTAGTTAGAGTTGTGTAGCCTTCCCATTTGAAGTCATTACAGTGGCTAAATGAGATTTTACCAAGTGACTTCACTCAATGGTCTTCTCTGAAAAGTAGTAGGGGAGGTTATCTTTCTGTTATTAGATTACATCAATTTAGAACTACTTGTTGATATCATCTAGTTATCCCGAAGTTTTATGACTTTTATGAAATGAGTCATTTTTAAGTAATCATGAATTAATAAGGAGTAGGCGTTTAGAGACAAATGTTGTATGTTACTTTACTTAATTTAAGGATGTAATATATTATTATTGGTAAGTAATACACGAATCATGTGTAAATTGTGGCAGAACATGTTTTGAGGACCTCTCCTTATAAATATTAGTAAAGTATATATTTAAGTGTAATTCTCATCTATAGTTCTGTAATGTCACCTGACTCCATAACCAAGCGTTTTATCCACCGATTTATTACTTTTTGCGCAACATCGGATGTCTGACTAACATTTTATTGGAACAAACTGTATTTCGATTCCCTGAAAAACGTCTGCTGCCACAGTCTAGTATGAGTTAGTCTGATTGGCAGTCATACTACCAGACTTGTTGTGACTCTGTTCTCTTCGAAATTTCAGTCAGTCGAAAATTGTGTACAGATATCTAATTGCTGGTAGTTGTTGTTCGATAAACTCACCGAATGTTGACTAATGCAAGTATATTTACTCAAAAACATGATTGACTGGGATTTTTGAGTGTGAGCAATCACTTTTTTGTGTAGCATTATTTATAGTAAAGCCAGGCCATATGTGCATGTTTCTGAGTGAGTAAATATTATTTTTTGTATATATGTATATATATATATAACTTGAATAAATATCAAATTGAATTATTGGTCATTTTTGTCGACTTTCTTTCTAGTGTAACCTACCATGACAAATACCACACATGCATCTCTATACGAAAAGCATGGGCCAGCTCACATCACTCTAGAATCCCTTCTTGATTCTACAGGTCTTACACCGCCTTCTCCTCTCGCAGAATCAATTGGTACTTCTCTAACTGATATGAATTCGGTGTCTGCGATAAAATATAATGTACCACACAGTTATTATGCTAATCCCACTTTTTATGTGATGGATCAAACAATTAACACTACCGAGAATTCTTCCATTAGTGAGTCTCGAAGGCAAACATTGTTGCAGAATGTGTGTTTGGAACTTGTTTATCTTCTTAAAGATCAAGATGTTAATGGCTATTTTCTCTATCCATTGCCACACTCCAGATATTCTGAAGTAAGATTTTACTGTTTCGTATCTGTTTTGGTCAATAGTTAGTTTTATCCTAAGCTTGTTTCATGATTTAAAAAAAATAATAGTGCTAATTCATTAAAAAAATTCTCGAAAGCTTTATACTTTGATTCATATAAGAATGGAAAATTCATGTTTTCCTTTGAAGTGTTTGAAATTTGAGATTCTTTTGACAAAGTATAGCTTTGGTGTTCTATTATTAGCAAACTAAAAGGATTCAAACACTGTACACGTTTTAGCCTTACAATACACCTGAAATAATGAGATCATTGTTCTTTGGTATGTTTCATATTATGGTCAATAGCTCATGTATATCAATTCATAGGACAAAACTTAAGGAGAGGTGTAGATTTATTTTTATTTCACTGTCAAATTTTACATTAAAATAAATGGGCTCGCCATATGAAGGTGATATCGTTGAGTCCAAAGCAGAAGTAAAAAACTGGTTAGGGTACTGAACGTGAGTATAAAAAAAACTTTCGCATCTTAATTGCTGAATGAGAGAAGAAAGAAGTTTAATAACTAATGTGCGTTTTTAAGAAGAGGCCAGTAGTCGAGAAATATTCATTCGGTTAATTAAAACCACTCAAATCTCAACTTAAGTATGTATATTTTAAAACTGTTTGATCGCAACACAAGATGGTAACAGCCGAAATACTAAAGCTTAAAGTTGTGTAGAAGAGAAACACAATTCATCTATTGTAGTCACTTAAAGATAGTGGATTTGTCCCATTCTGTCTTCGTAAGATTCGTAAAAGCAATGAAATATCTTAGATCAATGTTTTGTTAGTGTCTTGTTTAAGTTTTATTGAAAGAGAAAAATATGGGACCATGAATGAATTGGTGCGTCGGTGGCACAGTGGTAGGATGCTCGCCGACCACGCATGTGGTGCGGGGTTCGATCCCCGGCCGACACACCTCCACCTCGCTTAGCCAGTAATAAGACTGGTAAAGAGGGAAGGTTGGAGATGAGGCTAGCAATCTCATCCCGTAAAACTAAACACCGCTGCTACCGAAACTTCAAGCCTCTAGCTTGAAGCCCTATGTTCCACTGGCAACGTGAAGGAATAGAAAAATAACAGATGACGTGAAATTTTATCTAATGAACTGGATGATTTTAATGTATTACAATATTAAGATATATTCTCTCAGTTGTTTAAAGCTGTACAAAAATAAAGGTTCGAGCATCAAGGAAAGCAGAACCATATTGCATCACACCTAAGTAAATCTTTCAGACATGAATGTAAAATTATTTAAATTAATCCCAGCGTGTTAAGAAAATCAAAATCTTGTTTTGATTTTCTTAACACGCTGGGATTAATTTAAATAATTTATAATGAATCAATCTGACTCGGCGCTCAAATTATTCCAGGAAGTTCGTAACGCCTACGGCCTGGAAACCTATAATGAATGTAAAATAATATGATATGTTGAGGAAACTTAGATCAGTTTTAAGTTCGAAATATTTATCGTAAAGAACATTTTGTCATCTTTCCAAGTTAGTTGAAGGTGATATTGTTTTGTGTTTTAACCGATTTGCCATCTGATGAACAAATAAGTATTTTTAAAATTCATTCAAAAGTCCTATGTTAATTTTTTCAATCTTCAGTCTTCATCGCATTCACTTGGATTATTAGATGTTGAAAAACAAGTCTATAAGAGATATTACAAGAGTTTGTCGGAGTTTCAGGAAGACATTATTGGCTTACTCACAGGTGCTGTTCGATATTATCAGGTTGAATCAATGGCATATAATGAAGCACAGCGACTATTAAATCTGAGCAATGATTGGTTTAATTCATTGCCTCCAGAATATGTTATTAACTTAAGTCATCCAGATGACAATTCAACGTTGGTTGAAAAAGATGCACAGACTGAAAGACCCGATAATACTGGTGATAATGGCCTTATACCTAAAGAAACCTACTTGAAAATTTTAAATCCAGATAATAGTGGTATTATCAACAAAACAGAGCGGGTTCAAAGTATTGGAGATGAGGTTTGTTTTTAATTTGTTATTTCTTTTATTATTCCACTGTGATCATCCTTACCATATAATCTATCACGATGATATGAGTGTCATAATGTTTACTCGGTAGTATGCTTGAATTCTTTGTATTGAACGTTGGACAGGATAATTATATATTTGAAGGATGCCGTCCATCACCAAAGAACTGAGTTTCTTAATTTCTCTAAAATCAGTATCTGTTGGTTTGCTAAATCGGTACCACAATATAAACTTTCATCCAAAGATGTGTATTGTGCCGACCAGTCAGTCAAATACGTATCAGACTTTGAGTGAATGATCATCATTAGCGAAATATCATCGGATCTTTCAAACAAAACGGTTTTCACTATATCTTGATATTGCATTAACATACTTATGCCAACCTGAGTCATGAATGATCTACCTTCCCATCGATTATAATAGAATTACAGCCTGCTTTTTATTATTAAGCAGTCCTTTTCAGTAGCACGATAGTATTCATTTAACAACCGTATAAACTGGGACATTATGTTAATTGCTTTACAGTCTTCTATGGAAATGGATGTCGAACTCATTCTTACAAAACTGTTCGAACATAGCTCCTGTTTTATTCGTAGATAACGAATAATTTTCTGTACTAGTTTCTTCAAGGGGCTAACTGTAAGGTAGCGAAAAACATCCTCCCTAAAGAAATTTCTTATTGTTTGGGGGTTATTAGCTGTACTGAACCAATTTTCAGTTATTGCATGCACTCCAGTCACATTGCATCCAATCAACAATCTCACCTAGGATAGCTTCCTACTTGAGGATTAGAACTACCTGTTAAGATGACATCTAAACGTTTGACTTTTGGCAGCAAAGTAGACAGTTTCTGATAAAAACCACTCTTTACTTCGTCGGGATTTTAGTCATTTGGTTCATGGAAAGAGATTAGGAAAAGGTATGAACGAGTATCACGATCTTCCCGTGTCACGTATTCCTGCAACCAGATAAGCGACAGACGACTGCCTATCGGGAACCGACATAGTAGGTAGTTTTCTGCTGCTGACGTCAATACTTTCTCTACATCATCGAGTTGACGGAACTCAACAAAGAATCTCTTGACACTCTTAAGACAAACTTCACCATGCTGTTCACATGAGGTTAAGTTAATGACTACATTTGTGTCCTGTATGCATGTCTCATAGACATGACGTGTATCCAGAGCCTTAGATATCAGATTTTTAGCTGGTGAAGCCTGTTGTCCTACTTAATATAAAACCCGAACGTTAAAGGCTTTGATATAGAGTTGACAGTGTAGCTTCAAGAGACCGAGGACGAAGTTTCTCTGGCTCAAACCTCTAGTGATGGTCACAGTAAAAAAATGAAGAAACTGTCAGCTGGTTAATGTTAGCAATGTAATGAAGGCAAGAAGATGACGGTAGGCGATGAACAAAAAAATTTTGTTCACTTTAGGAAAAATAAAAGTGACACATTCTGCACTTTTTAATACTCACGGATTACATTGAACAATGAACAAGTAGCTTTGGTAACAATTGGAAATATGTTGAAAAGTGTGTTAGAAAATCTAGGTTATTTTATGCACGGAGCATGCAACTTTAATTAAGTGTTTTATCTGTTCCACTGTTTTGATAACTTTTTATTTATTTACAGGCAGGTCACTTGTACTCAGGTTCCTTTTTACTACCCACTGGTGGCTATCGAGAAGATCGACGCAATAAAGTCATACCATACACATATTTGGACTATGGTCCTTATTACTCATTCGCTCCTATCTACGACAGCGGGGCTTCTCATTGTACTCCCGAGTCGAACCAGTTGTTACTAGGGACAACTTGGCTTCCAGCTCGTACTCCATTTATGCTCGGCAAACGTTCATTGGATGGTTTTGATTCAAACAGTGGTTTGTGTAACATTGAAATCACAGATGAAACAATATCTACCGTTTTGGAAATGGGGGATCAGCAGTTAGCTGTTTCCCTGGCAGTTGCAGAAAGTGAACAGCGTACAGCTGAACAAATGTCATCTGAATTAGAGGATATTATTCCCGGCCCAGATGTACCTGATGAATTTGTGTTTAGCATGTGTTTGGCCAATACATTTACTCGTGATCTTATTAAAAAGGAAGAAGAACGTTGTGATATGGATTCAAATGACTCGTGTAATGAATTCAAAGAGTCGAAGACACTAACCAATGGAGAAACTTCAGAGGACTGTGTAGGATCTTCAGTTGCCAGCTGTGATTTGGATTCCATTTCTCATCATAATTTGGCAGATTCAAACATTAGTACGTATTCTGGAGATCAAAGTTAGTTGGTTTCATGATAGTTACATATAACTTTGTTTTTTTTAAGTTTTCACCTTTCCAACATTTCATGAAGTTAGTTAGTTATTTGTTGTGAAGAAATTTAACCGACATTTTTGTCGGTTCCACTTTGTTTGACCTTTTTCTGAGTTCCTGGAAGGAATCATTAACTGTACTGCAATCAGTGCATTTGATAGTTATATATAGAATTATAGACTTGTTGTTTGGTGCTACATTGCTGTGGTCAGCATTTTATTTACAAGTTTCCCTTGTGATTGGACACTAGTAACTAGTGTAATATGTGTGTCTAGTCCTTTGTTTGGTGCAGGCTGAATTCTATCAGTCAAGTTTGCAATGTGGCCACCATTCTAGTTGACTTGCCATCACGGTACACTTTGAATTGTTGATATTAGATGGTTAGAGGCAATCGGTAGGAAGCCTTGGACCTAGGTTTCATACTAGTTGGCACTCGTCAGCAAGTGATGTGGTTTCAAATCTCAGTAGGGACATGAATTCCTTCAGGGTTGCAGATACGCCTTGCTGACTAGTGAGTGCCAACTAACACTAAACCTATGTCCAAGACTTCCTGCCGATTGCCTCCAACCATCTAATAACAAGTGTCCCTATATGTGTACTTCTCACTGGGTGCCCAATTAGTTTGAAACTATTTGTTCAAATCTTGACCACAGTTCATCATATGAAGTGTTCCAAGTCGATTACATAATGTTGTGTGTGAGGATAACTCATTTAGATGTACAGTTTTTGACTTGTACAGGTCTCTCTTTTCCACTTGTCCAATAATTCTTAATTTTGTAAAATGATGATATAATGATAGTGCAAATTTTTTGTTTTGCTTTTTATTAATAGATAACATTAATGATATGAGTCAGTTGGAAACAGAATTAATAAAATCTAGTGAAGACTTAAATGCACTTTACTGTGCACAATATTTAAGACTTAGTGATACATCTCAAGCTGCAAATCATGGTTCAACAATACAACCAAATTCAAAAGAATTATCCATTGCACATAGATTAACAGAAAGATTAATTAAACTAACAAAATGTGCTCGTCCTCAAGACCTTATTCAATTACATTCAGTAAGAAAAGCAATGGGTTTAAATCCTGATGATTATTTCCTACCCGAAGATTTTAATTCAACGGATAACTTAGTTGTTGGTGCTGAATAAATTGACTGTTGAAATGTCGCGAAGTCTTAATTTTTTGTATAATGTATATACTCTTTTATTCTGAAGCTTGTGTTACATTCCTGTTGTGTACTACTATTAAGGTTAGCGAGGCTGTCTATCAGAGTAGAAGCAATACTTAAATGTAAATAAGTAGTGTACTGATAAGACTATTGTCCGTCCACATTTTTGTTTCTTTACCAAATTTTACTTATAGTTTTTTTTACACATTATGTATTATACATGCTTTTAGCACACCTCATATCTTATCAATACGATGTTTTCTAATATATGTAAATTATTATTCAGTTTCTTTTTCTATGCATAAATACAATTATAGTTACATATTATATTTTTTGATAAGCATTTACGGCATGAAAGTTAAGTTCATGTAACCATTATCGTTTAAAGAGAAGAAAAAGGATTACCAGTGATTCTCATTCTACTGAAGTTGATGTTTTGAGGCACTAACTAATCCATGATGTGATGAATTGAAACTTATTTTGATTATTCTTGAAATCGTTACTATTTTTTTCCTGATGTCTGATGACGACAAGACATAGTAGATGGTGACGTCAAGCGAAACGAAAGTAAATTTATGGTATCTATGACCTTGGGGTTTTGAGCTTGTCTAGGCCTTACAGCGCCCTTGCTAGGCTGTCCTGCTTAAAACCCTAAAATCCTATAGTAAACACAGCATAAGCTATATAGACGATATGAGCATGAGTTGGCCAGTTCTCATTGCTCGCTTATATGACTGTGTATGGTTTTCTATAGTCTTGGCAGACGTATAGAAGCTATTTGCATGCTAAATTGGTTGGCAGGGATAACGATTTCATTGAATTTGGTGGCTGCTGGCTTCGTTTATAGGGGCCTATTGTCACTATAGCGTTGCTATGCGTGCTACTTTTGCATATAATAATACGTTTGGCTAGTCTTGTATGCGAGATGAGTTCTATTGGGCTTGTCTATGCAGTGCATAATTGATTGACGCGATCAACGATCGGCGTAACAATGCTTACCTATCATTAATATACTAACGGTGCGAATGGTCCACCGAGGGAGAGGGCTCTCGAGTGGTTGCGCCACAGGATGATCCTGCATGCCGGTCTCGTCTCGCAAGAGGCAGGGATGGGTGTGTTTGGTTCTCCTGAAAACCAATACCCAGTCAATGGGTGTATCACTGTGTGAATAAACTGGTTGATCCTGCCAGTGGTCATATGCTTGTCTCACAGATATTCAATAAATTCTAGGATGAAAACACAAGTATGCAGTGAGTGATACGGAACCTGGGCTATTTGTTCGAAGCCTCCAGTTCTCTAATGACTTAGATTTATATTTCTTCTGCAATCGTCACGCATTATCTCACTAGTAACCTGCTAATCCTAGTTTATCCAAAACAGTCAATAAAACATATTTATCGGAACTAATGATTTTCTCCTTATAAATACCTAGTCCAAGGATGTTATATCAGAATCAATGGTTCTTAAATAAGCATTGCATCGTATTCCGATCTAGCATACCATACATTTTAGTGATTGAGAATTACCTTAGTTACAAAATGATAAATGTTGTAGACAACAGGTATACACAGTGTGTAACTTTAATTTTAGCCGTAGTTATTAGTCTGTCTTGGTTTCCTGAAAGTGTTTATTAGTATGTAAACTGTAAACTTGTAACATTTACAACCTTTTAAAAGTCAATCATTTGGAGCCAAAGTAAACATTAGTGTTTATTCAAATTTTAGATACATAATGGAAGTAACAACATATAGAATTCAGGTACTGTTTTACTGAATAGTGATCACTCAATGTTTTAACTGTGTAATGGTCACATTACTGTAATCTGACTAATTATTTGTGGATTATAATCACTTTTCTCAAGTGAAAAACTAAGAAATGGAAACACATGGAAACTGAAATCTATTGTTCACTCTTGTTTTCTCAGTATCATATCAATATGATAGAATCTCATAGGCTTGGCACAGTGTCGAAAATAAGCGAATAATTTAAATCTACGCCATAAACTGGAGTAGAGAATAAAAGGTGTAATGGATTCAGAACTCCGATCAGAATTGGGTTGGTTTCAGGAAAGGCAAATCATGTGCTGATCAAATTGCCACTATGCGCATCATCATCATCGAAAAAAGCATAGAATGCCAGTCAAATCTCTACCTCAATTTCATCGACTTTGAAAAGGCCTTCGACTGCGTTGACGGAGAAGTATTTTGGAAAATAATTCATCACTGTGGCGTGCAGTGTCCAGATCTTTATCAACCTCATTCAACAGCTATATGACAATGATACATGCCGGGTGATCCACAACGGAAAACTCAGAGTGGCGTTCGAAGTGAATACAGGAGTAAGACACGGCTGTTTGACTATTATCACCGATGGTATTCCTGATTGTGGTGGACTGGATTATGCGTCAAACTGTGGACAGCGAGAAGACAGGAATACTCTGGACCACCAATAAGAAGACTCTAGGAGATCTGGATTTCGTGTGAGGATGATATATGTCTAATGTCACACAAACTCGAAGACCTTCAGGCGAAAACCGAGAAATTGGTAGAAGCAGCAGTGCAGCAAAGATAGGACCTCAAGTGAACATAGAAAAAACGGAACTGATCAAGATAACCAATCAATAGAGACAACAAACAGCACCAATCACTGTTGACGTGAGGAATTTGAAAGAGGTGATTTCCTTCACTTATCTAAGAAGCATCGTTTCAACTACAGGCGGAGATGTTAAGGCCAGCCAGAATCGGAAAGGCAAGATACGCCTTTATCAGTCTGAAATCGGTTTGGAAATCTTCCGCGCTCAGTATAAGGAACAAGGTTCGGGTTTTCAAAACAAGTGTTAAGTCACTCAGTTCTCCTAATATGGGTCAGAAACTTGGCACCCGCGTCGTGAATAGCATTGCAACAGGCCACTGCAAACATTTATCAACAGCTGCATATTGAAGATCAGATGGTCAGCCAGAAAGAGTTAGCAACAAGAAACTATGGGAACAAACTAACCAAAAACCTATTGCTCAACAAATATGTAGGAAAAAATGGAGATGGATTGGGCATACGCTGAGTAGACCGTCGAATAACACCGTGTGACAGCCGTCGAGTGGAACCTGAAGGGGAAGCGACGAGTGGGTCTTCCAAGGGTGACATGGAAAAGATCGTGCTAGGAGGAGATCAGAGATTATGAGCAATCGTGGGCCCAGCGAAAGAGGACAGCAGAAAATAGAACAAAGTGAAGATGTGTCGTTGAGGCCCTATGTTCCTTTTGGAACCCAAGGGAACAACAAAGCAAAAGAAACCATAAACTGTGTTATTATTAATTTACGCTTCATCAAAAATTTTCAAATCTTTCGTTTATTTTTTGTATGAACGAATAAACATAATCAGTTGAATAAAGATTACTCTAAAGCTTCAGTAAAAGATTTCTTTGTTGAAAGGAAATTCTAATTTGTATTATTTTGCTTTATTTTTACTACTTTCTTTTTTAAAATATTGATCAAAAAGCAAAATATTTATATAGTTCATACAATCAGTTTAAAGAGAAATCGTATTTCATTTAAAAATATGTTGAACAACATTTTTCATTAGGATTATCACTGTTGTCTTTATCATTTGTATCATTCTCTTACAGGATAAAACTGTTAGTTGTGTGTACTCTATCAAAGTCACATATTTTTCATCCAAATAGGTCTGAACATTCTATGAGCGATTGATCTTTGGCATGAAACAAGATGATATTGTACCCATCGACGTGTTTTGCCTTCACATTTTGCACGATATGCACAAACATTCCACCTTTTGTGTATACAAGATATTGAATAGAATGTTTAAAATGTCAGATAATAAAAAGAAATAGGAATGAAAGTAAAAGATACTCTAATGGTTTTGTTTAATTATCCTTGTGATTCGGAAAGAAGCCATACTGACAATTGTATAGTTATTTCAACTTCGTATTAGTACAAATTAGATTTAGCTGTCCACCATAACATTTTAAGTGGTACATTATCGTATTAATTATAACCAGTCAGTTAGTTTTAATATTTGTGTGTGTTTGTATTAGTACACTAGAAAAGATTAAAAATACCTCAGGTAGCTATATGATTGATCTCTACAACTTGGTAGATGAATTTAGTTTCAAGGTCTATCTATAGTAGGTGATAATATCAGTGCATCGTTGGAGATTCAATGGCGAAACGCCCACTAACCACATACAGGTGGTCAGGATTCAATTCTGAGCTGACGCCCTCCTAAACAGCCTGTTTAAAAGCTGGAAAAAGAGAAAGGTTGGATGTGAGGCTAGCAATCCCATCACAGCTGCTGAAAATTCTAAACTTGAAGCACTAAGTTTCACTAGGAACATAAGAAATGACAAAAAAAGTCTCCAGTTTGACTTAAATACAAATGAATGTTATAGTGATTTATTATATGGTCCTTAAATGAACACTACATCCTATTTCGATCTAGCATACCATGGATTCTAGTGATAAAGATCTACTTTAGTAACGACATGATAAAATTGGTTGGTGTCACTAACAGAGAACATGAGTCAGCTTTTTAACTCAAATTGTTTTTCATGGTAATTTTAAATTCTTTACATTTGTTAGTATACCCCTTCAGCCTCCTAATAAAGGATTAGCAATTGGCCAGCATGTTAGTATAGTTCCAATGTTGTATTCCTCTTTTGATGTAGCTAACAGTGACAAAGGATTATTTCCTAGATGACATATTCAGCACAGCCTACGGCCTGTAATGATCACACAATCTTCAAACCATTTTATAATTCAAAAGTGTATCACTTGTTACATTATATTGGTGGTAGAAATTGCCAAGTATTCTGAATGGCTGATCAGATTTTACATTGTTCTTCAGATAATCGTCTGCCTCTGGTCTAATTTCAAATATGAGGACTGCCATTGCCTCACTTGGTGACCGCCATCATCGAGCCAATGATTAACAAAGAGACTACCTAGCCATTAGTTGTCAGTGTAAACGGTCGGTGGGAGATTATCCTTCTTTCTGGAACACATGTGTAGACTCCAGTCGTGCGCATGTATGCCTTACTTACCGGCGTCCAACAATCGTTATATTTCTTGACCTAAAGGTGGCATTCGATTCTGTCGACGGAGAGGTACTATGGCGATGCTTGGGAATGCCGAGAAAATACATTGCTCTGATCAAGGCACTCTACTTGAACTCATATAGCCAGGTAAGAGCTTACGGCGAGTAGTCATCTGAACTGGTGACAACTAGTGGTGTCCGTCCATTTCTATTCAGTTTCATCAAAGATGTACTAGTGGAATTAAACCTAACTGCTGACTTCAGAGACTCAGGAATTGACTTGTTACCGGGGAATAATCTCGCTGAATTAAAATATGCAGATATAATCATTCTAGGTGAAGACGCTCACAAAATGAGGCAGAGTCTTCTGAACACCTTGAGCAGCAATCTTCGAATGTTTGCCATGAGATTTGCTCCTTTCAAATGTAAGATGATATTACAGGACTGGACTACATTGACTCCTAGCTTAGAAATAGAGAGTGAAGTGGTAGAGCTTGTTGACCATTTCACTTATTTTGGAATTTTCATCAGCCAGCGCCAACGGGTTGATCACTGACGGTGAGTCGTGCAACGAGAATGATCCTGGCGGTCACTGAACATGATGATGAACAAAAATTGCCCAGACATAAGCTGATTACAAGTCTTCGGAACTAAGCGTGAACTTTGGTGGGCTAAAAGGCATGAGAAAAAGATAATAACCGTCCACTATTCAAGCTTATTGGGGTAAATGATTGTCGAATAATTGCTGTAAGTGTAGTGATCTCCGAGATGAATGGAAATTTAACATATCATGAGAGATAGGGCATCGGAAATAAAACACTGAGAATCCATCCAAATGGCTTACGCTGCATAGCAGTTCCTCACCATTCAGCGTCACCATATTATCCAGCTGTAATCGCAGTTTTATTATTAAAGCAGCAAAACCTGATGTTATAACTCCAGAGGTGTTTAAGGGTGGTTAGTTATGGTTGGCATCCGGGAATCTAAGCCAATTACACCAGCATATTAGAGTGAACGTCATGGACACCCACTGTCATTGTTCTTATTTAACTTCACTTTAAACGTACCAGTCGATATAACCCTGGTTGACTTTAATGTCTCAAGGATTGACTTGTTGTCCGGAAAATGTCTCGTTTATCTAAAATACGTAGATGGTTGTCTCCTTTAAGGTGAAGATGCTTACAACCTTGAGCGAAAATCTTAGTATGCTTGGCATGTGATTCGCCATTGTCGAATGCAAGATTCTGTGGCAGGAATGATCTATAACAGCTCCCAGTTTGAGGATATGGAGTGAAAGAACTGAGCGTGTTGACCAGTTTACTCATTTGGCTAGTTGTCGTACTGATTGTTAGTGGATATAAAAGGCCCGTTTGAAGTTTGCCAGCTTCAGTTATCAACATCGTAGGCGTGATATCTAGTCATTCACCAAAGAAAATATGTACTGTACAGCGGTTTGCTCTGTCTTTCCTCGTGACTGTGAAACATGGCCTCTGAGTATAGGAGATATGGAAAAGTCAAAGATTTTGGGCATAGATTTTGGTGTGCAGTGACATATGTGTATTTACTCTATGACATTTGGTACACCCGGTGACGTGTGCGAAGCTGAGTTTATAATCCCACCATCAAATGTAGTTACTAGGATAAGAACTGAAGAATAATATACTGCAGAACTATCAAAGCATTATAATCATAAATAAATATCAGATTGTGGCTAATACTGCCACTAATATTATTATCTTTTAAATTTAAGAATTGATTTTCTCAAAGGTAAAATATAACAGTATTTAATTCAGTCATAATATCTGTACATAAAAATCATACTTACATCCTGCATAATCCATTGACTAATCGATAGTGATATACTGTGTGTGACAGTGGTCGGTAGCACGGCTTTTGTCGACAAACTCTCTTACAAGTTTTTCCTTGTTGTTCTTCTCCTGTCTTTTTTTCTGTACTTGTAGTTGCCTTCGTCTGGCATACATATCGACATTGAACTCCACATGCACATCGAATTTGCCGCTGAGAAAATGTATGTATTTGTTGAGGTTTACAAACTACATTTCAAAATGTTAAAAGAGAATAAATTAACACAATATCAAGAAAACAGTATCATCAGTTACTGTTTTTCTTCCAAAACTTTGAACTATAGATGTCGGAAAAATTCGAAAAGGAGTAGACTGTGTGAGGGGCATTTAAATCATATTTTCTTCAAGTACATTAAAAACTTTTATGCTTTTTAGTATGGTCAATAAAATTCATCTCGATAATGTCATATACGTATAGATGTAACATATCCTATGAGATTTAATCTATATAGTACAAAAAATTCCTACTTCAGTTAATTAACTGTCATGTTAAAGAAGTCATCATTAGAAAAAAAACGCAATCACTTTAAACACCTAGTTTTCATCTAACTTTCCAATGGAAAGAAGTTTGGCACATAATATTTCAGCTTTCTACCATAGTGCATACAGAAGAGTAATTTATATTCGATAAAGGTAAACGAAAAATGTGACATTTTTGATTTTAGAAAATTGAGGTATAAAGTATTGTAAGCATCACCTGTGAAACTGTGGGTTAACCTTAGCACTGGGAATTTTGATTATTTGAGTTAATAAAGAGAGGATGATTAAAATGCTTTGATCGAATCCTAAATTCTATAAATAACTGCAAAATCCACTAATAGAACACTTATAGGAATATGAAATATAAGAAAACGTGTTAGGTCTACTTGAAACACAGAGGTTAGGACGCTCGCCGATTATGCACATGGTCTGAGGTTCGATCCCTGGCCGACGCACACCTGATATCAATGATCGACCTGCTACATGTGGGCTACCGATATCATATGCTGAAAATTCCATACTTGTACCAAAATAGTGTGTGGAATCAAGCTATAATAAAAATATAAAAAAATATCTATTCGAAGCTACGAAACTAAAAATATGAATAGTACTATTTATTATTTCGTTGAGTGTTCTCGCGGAAATCACCTATCTTGGTTGCTTGAAAAGCAATCAACCACCTACACCATTAAATTGGTAGATTTTAGACACCTTACTTCTCAGGAAGTCCCATTCTTAGTTATGTACCAAGTTCAGTAAAACAGTGCAGATATGGAATTTATATTTAGAAGAATCTTATCCCTAGTCACCATTTTGTTACACATACAATTTTAGAGTAATTACTTTTTAGCAATGATAAACATCGAAATTTAGCGTTTAACTGTGGTACTACAATGATTCTGATGATTCTGACTCTCCTGATGTCTCAAATGTTGAATACACAAAAGTGTTTAATGATGGCTTGATATAGTCCTTATTTCGGTAGGATTTCAGACAGTGCGCGGCGAATGCTTTGAGTAGCAGTTTGATGGACAGTTTGATAATTGAAGATAAAAATGTTAATATTTCATTTAACTTCGTTTCAGAAATTTACAGAGTAAAAGAAATTACTTCTCACCTGGCATAAAACTCAACGGTGCTTTGACTATTTCTTTTTCTACAGAAGATGTGTAACCTGTTTCAATTTGTTCATAATTATTCTTTCCATATTCACCAGTGGATAAATTGAAGTGGACTAAAAGAAGGATCACACTGTAGAGGATGCGGTAATAGTTAACCACAAATCTGGATGACATTCGTTTCGATTTCTAAACAATTCACCCTGATTACAGCGGGAATATGCAAAGAAGTTAAAATACCATTCTACATTTATATATATATGCCAAATATTAATTTGTTCAATCATTATTTAGTAGCATAGAGAATTATTTTTTGTAGAGACTTAAGGAAAACTTACCATGATTTATTGACTAAACATTTTAAAAATAAGGGGCAAAAATTGACGACTAATAAGTATTTACCCGTATATATTATTTCAAAAATATCTAAACAAAAGCTTATAAATAGTGTGAAACAGTTATGCGGGTTAAGACAATTGTATACAGCATGTACATTTTAGTACAGCAGTAAAACAGTGTTTGCAATACTTCATGTATCTGAAGTCCTTGTGCTGAATGATTATGTGGTTTAATGAAAAAAAAGATTGAATTATTTAAATGTATCTCTTGTAGTTAGCAATGTACATTTAAGTTAGTAATGTGTTCTTATTTATCAGCTTACTATTTAGTTTTATGTAGAAATGTTAAATGTATTAGTCATAGCGAGATTAGGATAGGCTACCTGTAAATATTAAACCCAGCCGCCTATCAGATGAATTCATAAAGTTCACTGATAAAGAGGCAGCAGTTGCAGATTATTCTAGTGGTTGCTCAAATGGCATAAGTACATGATCATATTCATCTGGATATCAATTTAATCCCCACGATGTCTACATCTAAATAATGAGACAGCTTAAAAAATTACTACATATCCCGATGGTATTAGTATAAACATATATATATATATTACTGGTAAATAGGAACTCAAAATATAATTTGGAATACGAATAAAGAGTCGATTTTATCCGAAATTATATTTCTGCACGCTTATGATAACAAATAATAGGTTTGATGTGAAGGGAGCTACTGGGCAAGAAAAGTGGGAAAACTAGGTTGCGAATATGAAAGCATCTAATTCCTGTCTATACTTTGAAATTGCATATTCACTAGCTGAAGCTCGCTGATGTAGTTATTTTTTTCTAACTTCACAAAAAGATTTTCGAATAACTTGGCTATTTCCCATCGATTTGTGGTAAGAAAATAATGTAGTTCCCTAAACTCAGCAAGTTGTTTTTGTTAGATTGAAAGATTCACAAATAATGGCTGGATAGCAAAAGAAATGATGCTTCAGCCTTGGTCTCATTGCAATGAAAAAATTCGATTAGAAAAATATTGTCTTCTTAAAAAACCAAATATATTAGGACACCACTTAGAATCTCAGACAAGACCGAAGTGGACACATGCTCAATATACAGCCTGTTTAGAAAGAAAAACAATCGGTAAACTGGAAATTAGTTGTCAAACATACTGATGTTGACAGACAGAAGAAAATTACACTAAATCGACTAAGTAGTCCTGATGTGACCCAAGAGAATTTAAGGTTATACGATGAAACTTTCTAGCCTTAGTTACAAGTGGACAAAGTCTATAGGTAAGCTGAAACGTGGTCATGACATTCTTGCAACTGTACCTCACTTCTTAATAAAGCTAGTACTGCAGATGTCAATCAGCTTAGTTATGGACTATTCATGATAGAATATAAAAGCTCAGAGAGCGGAGAATTTCGGTTAATCTGTCTTATCCAAAATACCTCTCTTTGTCCCTTCATCATGATTAAATTCACTTCTCAGAGAAACATGAAATTCGAAAGAACTCCACAGTATTATATACTCTATGTAAAAACTCATTAAATCATTTCACTGGGATGAGCATTCTGTTCAGAGATAAAAAAAGTTAAATTAAATAATTTGTGAAATTTCTAGAATTATGTTAGTTGGGTTCATTAAAAGGGGTTGTTAGACAGTTTTTTTTTATTATAGGTGACACTATGTGTAATACAGTAAGGTGCCTATAGTGAACATTAAAGCTAATGTCTCTTAATAGGGTTAGAAAACTAAAGTAGTAATTTTTTATTTGTAAGATTGCATGAGTGAATATTTCAATTCTGTGGATTAGGATTAGAATGAATGCTTCATTGGATGCCAATATGGTCTAGTTATATGCTTTGTGCATACAAATTGTTGTAATTAAATTTAGGCTCATTTATCAGAAATTCACGTTTTTCGGACTTGTGAATTTATATTAAGTACTATCAAACTAATCTTTCTTTTCCAGTTCGAATAATGATAAGTGTTCAGACAATATCTAAGCTCCATAAGTCAAAATATAACTAGTCTGTATTTAGAAGTAAAGATATCAGTCCATTCTGTCTATCTTGCATTTCAATGTAGATTTCGTTACAAGATGACCTCATATGGTGAATTACTGAAAGTGAAGGAGAACTGGACAGTTGGTTCATTCTAGTTTGAAAAGCTTCAACGGTGCGCACACACACACATAGCTGACCTGTGCTTCTTGTCTTCAATGATTCTCTACGTCTTGTTGGTTTGTGTAGTGTAGATTAAAACTAACAGAAGCTCCAACAAATCAAAAATTTCGAATATTTTGCATTCATTAATATAATCACTCACTTATTTCAAATGCTTCATCATAACCTAATTGATTGCCTTATATTCAGTTGGCTTTATTTATCCATTTTCTGGTGGAACTCTCTGAAAAGATTTTGACAACAAATTTCAGTGAGATCGATATGAACTATAAATCTAACAAACCTTTATATTTACTCATTTTTTCAAATTATATTTATAATTGAAATCTCAATATATGTATATATTCAAAATTGCGGTATTTTTTGTTTTCTCCATTTTGACTGATTTCGAAGTTTTGTTTATTAAGAAATAAAAAATCGAGAGAAAAATTATGAATAAATTATACCTTGAGATTATCAGTTTTCTAGATCAAATGATGGAGCACAAATATTTATTTATTTAGGTAAATCTTAACAGCACGATAGTGGTACAGTACACTGAAAATTCTATGAATTAAGATTCTACTGAATATGGAGATACCGGCATTTGGTTGTCAAATACTCTTGCCCCTGTAGAAACTGGTTTGCTTTTGCTGTGAAACCTAAACATCAGTTCATGGAGAAATATTCCTAAATTGGGGTGAGTCAGTATATTTTTAATTTTCTAAATTTTATTATAGCTTGATTCCACACAGTATTTTTGGTATAAGTATGAAATTTTCAGCATTTGATATCGGTAGCCCACATTTAGCAGGCCGACCATTGATATCAGGTGTGCGTCGGCGAGGGATCGAACCTCGGTCCATGTGCATGGTCGGCGAGAGTCCTAACCACTGTGCCACCGACGCACAATATATATCCTTTCCCTACAGTCCCTCTTATTCGCTGATGCATTTACCCCATTTGGTTTGTAGCATTTTTCTCATTTCAGCATCACCTTGTCAACTAGATTTCCTGGACCATAGTAAGGAAGAAAGTAAATATATGGCAACTCACAACAGCATCCAGTCCATGGCATACAGTTGTCAAAAAAGACCTGTGAACTTGACCAACTTCAGTTTTACCGAAACTCTTACCTCTCTTCATATGACATCAGACTAGCTAGAGAGTTGTTACCGTAACCCATTCTTTGCAGCGATTCAGTCTTCAGCTAGAAGTAAATTGTGCTTATTATTACAGTAGGCATGTCGATAAGAACCAGCTTCTCTCTGAAAGCTTTTACTGGAGAAACTGATATCACTCGATGTGGTGGGGAATTCCAATCTTTGATCCTACTTTGTTAGAATCTGAAACTCACCGGTAGGTTATTCGACTGCGATTCAAGTACTTTTATATGTAGTCGTCTTTTATATATATCTTGGATGCGGGGGGTAGGATAGAGAGGTCAATATCAAAGTCATCAATTAGTGTAGGATTATCCAAACCAAGGTCCTCGCCCTCCCATGGAGCGATAATAAGAAAAGATTTAAACGTTACGTCCTCGTCTCATGAAGAGGGTGAGAAATTCCTTTGATTTAAACTAATGCATACCCTCTGTACTCCTCCGAGGAATTGAACATTCTTCTTAAAGCATCAACCGGCAATCTGTATTCGAGATGAGGTCTATTATACGTTGAGTAGAAAACTTTGAACAGAGATGTGTCGTCATCCACACATTTATTTATTTTTGCTATGCTAAAGCATTTCGCTCGATACAGCTGATTTATTCACTTTGTTGTGGTGATAATTGTTTGTTTAAGTTGTCATCCTATATGTCTGTTTGAATGTTACATAATGCTGTAGATCCTGTTTGCCTTTACCATTTGCTGACTGCACAGTTTAAACACTCACATCTATACATCGTTCTTGCTTGAGTTGTGAAGTTGATCCAAACACTGGACAGTCGTATTACTGGTGTGTCAAAGAGCTTTCCTCAGTGTGTCCGCATTAACGCAACTCACAGAGTGTAATCTGATTTATGGCTGGGTACTGCAGCCAGTCGGTTGTACATTGCGCAATATCAGCCATTTGAAAAACATACAGTTCCTTCCTTAATTTTTTTTCGTGTATCTACGCTTACGCAGTTTTGTCGTGCATTTCTTTCCTTGTGTTTCCCTACTTTTGGGTGTTTGCTTTTTCATTTTCGATTGATTTTTTTTTTTCGATATTACTTTTATGACTATTTTTCGTTTTCATTCGCAATTTCTGTTGCCTTTTCATTCGTTGAATTATGCATCTTCCCCTTTTCTTTCTTTCTATCTCTATTCTCTCTTTTCTTTGTCAAACTGGCATTCACTTTAGTAGTGTATTCACTTCATTTTCTTTCGAATAGCATCTATTTTTTTACAAGTGTATTTTTTTAAAACTGATTTTCTATCTGTAGTGATTTTATGGAACTTATATTTCTAAGGAAAATTTTTTATTTTGCTAAAATATGATGAGAATATTTAAATCTGTGTTTGTTCATGAACATTATCTTGTCTTTTAGGCATCGAGTTTTATTTTAGTTTTATCAGTGTCACTTTAAGCGTCATCGTTAGTTTTTATTTGCGGCAAATAAATGAGAGATACACAACAGTTAATATAAAGTTCTAAATCATGATCATAGTTATATTTCTTACGGGTTTTCTGT